TCTGCACGTTCTAATATTTTTCTTACCACCCGTTTCATCAGTTGGAATTTCTCCACTTTTCCAGTGTTGTGCAAATACAATTCTAGCTGCGGTTAATACATGAATAATTATCAAATATACATTCTCTTTATTATAAATTTCAGGCAAAATTCCTAGCAGAAATATTTCTGGTTTCAGTTCAATGCATTGTTGTGTCATTTCTTCCAACCACGTGTTGATTTTTATCCAATACTTTTTTGCTTCTACACATGTCCACCATATATGATAATAAGATCCAGGTATTTGGAGGCATTTCCAACATTTAGCGGATTTGTCCTTAAACAATTTCGCCAACCTCGCCAATGGTAGATGCCATCTGTAAAACATCTTATACAAATTCTCTTTATATGCAGCTGACATTGTTAATTTGTAATTCCTAACCCACAGTTTCTGTCATTTATCTAGTTCTATTGCATAACCATTCCCATGCTATCATTATCTCTTGTTCCTCTTCCTGTGTTATACCCAATAAGTAGCTATACAATTTCTTTATTAGTTTTTTCTCGTGTTTCTGTTAAGATTTTATCTGTTATTCCTTTGTAAAATCCCTGTGTTTCAACATCTTTCTCATATCTTGACTATCTGCACATATGAATACCACGTTACATCAACTCCTTTCTCGCTCGTGTCTTCTTTCGTTTTAAGTCCCCCTTCCTCATTTAGTTCCAGCCTGCTTCCTGATTGGGAGAGTGGTCTGAAGCGTCTGGTGGGCTCCAGGTCACCTCCCCCTACTCTAAGCAGCAGGGTCTGCTCCCCGGCAGTTGGCCAGGAGATCAACAGAAGGGGAAGACTGTTGTCCTTTTAAAAGCTTTGTAATGGCAGAAGCCCCGTGTGACCCAAGTAATTCTCTCTGTTGGTTGGTTTCCCCAGTACAAGCTGTGCAAGGTTAGAAAAATCTTTGTGGGCACCAAAGGAATTCCTCACCTTGTCACTCATGATGCCCGAACAATCCGGTACCCAGATCCCCTCATCAAAGTGAACGACACCATCCAGATTGATTTGGAGACAGGCAAAATTACAGACTTCATCAAGTTTGACACAGGTTTGTTTTAAGTGACGTAACTGTGGGGTGTTCAGACTGCTGTGGGTCTGTTTTCAGGGGTTGTGTAGTTTGTGACTTGAAGCGCCTGCCCTGGAGAGCAGAACGCCTGCTCTTTAGGGTTCACCGACAAATGCGCGATAGACATACGCGCGCCGACAAAACCGCGACGTACAAATGAGCGCCGACAAAACCGCTAATTGGTTTTCGACAATAGCACGACGAAAAATGCGCGACGACAAAATTGCATCATCAACAAACTATAGACAGCCCAGTGAGTGTGCTGGGCCTTTAACATAGTGGGACGCGTATAACGTACGTTATAACCCTAACCCTAAAAAATTTTTTGATTTTATTGTGCTTGTCATTGCGCTTTTGTCGTCGTGATTTTATCATCACGAATTTGTTGGCGCTATTTTCTTTTCTCTTTTTTTTTTTGAACAGAACTTTTTTATTTTTCTTTAAAAAAAAACACAAATATGTCATCATTTGTCAATCATTAAAACAT